TACATGCTGCGCCTGCAACAGGGTGCACGCACTGCACGGGCCATTTTCAGGCCCGTGTCGTTTTCAGCCCAAAAGCCTGAAAACAAGGGCCTACAGGCCCTGTGTCGTTTTCAGCCCGAAAGCCTGAAACAAGGGCCTACAGGCCCTGTGTCGTTTCAGCCTAAAACAGGGCCTTTCCGGCCTTGAGTCTTTTCAGCCTGAAACGGAGGGCCATTTTCAGGCCCTTATAAGATCGACCTACCCTGAAACTCAGGCACCAGACCAGGGTTTTAGCTCAGGCCATTTTTGGCCTATTTTCAAGACAACCTTTGTTTGAGCTTCAACCCCAGGGTCTGGCACGTTTTGGCATTGGCAAGAGCAGCCTCCTGCACGGGCCAGCACTTTAGACTGGCCCGCCCTGCAGGCTGCAGGTAGTTCATAGGGACTTCCCAGGCACTTCACCTGCAGTTCAGGAGGCAGGAGGTAGTCTTCAGGATTCGGCAGCAGCACTCTGGAGAAGCGCTGCAGGAGTAGTAGTAGCGCTAGCAGTAGTCTTCAGCGCTGGGCGCTAGTAGCGTTAGCAGTAGTCTTCAGCGCTGGGCGCTCTTAGGAGCTAGAGTAGTACTAGAGAGAGAGAGAGAGAGATTGGGCGGAGGCCAGGGAGACTTACCTACAGCGCCATAGCTCCAGCTTCGCCTTCGAGGTACCTGCAGCACGGCGCCATCTTCACAGGTTAGTACCTGGCACATGAGAGAGAGAGAGTTCTTCTTCTTCCTCTTCTCAGTCCACCATCTCCCTCTCAACCTCTCGCTACCTGACTTCACTGCATCAGCAGACTATGAGAGAGCGGGCTTGACTCGACATTGGGCCTCAGACATTTGACAAGGGATTATCTGGGACTTGTAATGAAGACTTCGTGTTGACGACATTCCCATCTTCCCCCTTCTTCTTCGTCTGCTCCCCTCCTCTTTGTCTGTGTATGGACTGGACCTGGCGCATTCTTCCTGTGTATAGCTTCAGGCCCCTTCACACCTTGTGATGAGGATGATGTATGTTTGATCTGTACTACGACATTGGTTGGGCTAGTCATTGGTATTCTAGCATTCTGCTGTGCTGTCTTGTACTACGTGAGAGAGGTCAGCCCCGGTCAGGTCAGGTCTTATATCTACGTCTTCCACTGCGCTATTATGTGCCATTTTGTATGTATCAGGATGTACACTGCTTGTTGAGATTCCTCTAGCACTGCATTGTCCATTCAGTCCTTTTCATCACATCACGGATCCTTGGCTTTACATACATTGACCAACTGGGCATGTAACACCCACACACACACACACACACACACACACACACACACACACACACACACACACACACACACACACACACACACACACACACACACA